CAACAAAAAAAGTTATACACAAATCCTGGCTGTAACAAATAAGTAGGTTTGCAGCAAACCTTGTCTTTGTTCATAACATCCCTATCAGTCATGGAAAAAATGTGAAATTTGAAATTCAATGGTTGATAGTCTGGAAATAACTCCACAAAAATTTCCAATGATTTCCAAATCATTTCCTGGAGAAAAAAATCATGTCATTTCTTGGAGAAAAATTCATGAAATCAATTTGCCAGCCATGTTGGCAAGGAGCCCAAAACCCTTCAGATATTCTTAATGAGCACAACCCCCATGCTATCAGTTTTTCTTGTTTCAACCAAAAAAGTTATCAAAAATTCCAGTTATAGTATGTAAGCATATTGGATTTATTCACAATTTCCCTATTAGTCACAAAGATGGAATTCAAAGAGTCATGTCAATGAACAAATCTCAATTATCTAGCACCATTTAAAATGATGTATGAACATATCACAGTTGAAAGAAATCTTATATTCAACTGTAGTTTTAAGGGAATGACATCAGGTTTAATTCATAGCTGTGCAAGAATCAAATTTCACAATGTGAGTATGTGGCAGGCAGATAGGCCAGCAGACAGGAAGACAGACCAGCAGACAGACAGACAGAGAGACAGTAGACAGACATATAGAATTCTGAGCAAGGATAAAACCATTTATGTTAAAATGGAGACAGTCACTATTGAGATAAGGAAACAGTTTGGATGAGCAATACGGGTGAAGCAGGCAGATGGAACAGCAGGTGACAGATATATGTAACTATGTAACTGATTGATTATGCATGTATGAGAAGTATTTTTTGATGAACAGGGAGCCTAAAGGGTGATCAATAATCATCTTCGTCGTCGTCCTCGTCTTCATCGTCGTCCTCGTCTTCTTCATCTTCATCGTCTTCCCCTTCCTCCTCCTCTTCATCTTCGTCATCTTCCTCCTCCTCTTCCTCCTCTTCCCCCTCTTCCTCTTCCTTCTCCTCCTCTCTCACAATAGTGGCTGAAGCTCCCGTCTCCTTTTGTTTCTGTTGCTTACGTGCATGAGTCGGTTTTGGAAGAGAGTCAAATTGATGCTCAACTAAATCGATCCACTTGTTCTTCAATCCTCGAAGGACAAGCCAGGTATCATCGATCGACATTTTCTTGATGGGAACATCAATCAAATGTCTGACTGAGAGGCCCACCGGGTTTTCATGAACGATAAGTTTGTGATTGATTCGTGCGAGATGAAGAACGGTTTCGGTGCCAGGCCAATGGCACTTCTTATTTGAGGGTGTACTTTTTGACCGAGCGGCCTCTGATGGTGAGATCAAACATCAGGTGGGCGATCAGCTATACAGAGAAGTCATTCTCACTTACTGTACATGGCTCGGAGCTCCTCTGCAATGTACGTGTGGTTGAGAGCAAGGGACCCTGGATGTTGGTAACAAGATCCAATAAGTCAGTACGGGGAAAAAACAGACCGGTCGAAAAAAAGGTGGAATTGAGACACATACCTTTGCAGACATCTCGGTTTATCAAAGCTGCTACAGCGTACTTGGTCTTCTTCTTCGGTGGCTGTCCAATACCCTTGCTCGGTGCCTCATCGCTACCTTGCAATTCTAAATCGCTTCGCATCCTCTTCTTAGAGGTTACCTTTTTAGATCCCGCTGTCCACATAGCAAACTTGCGCATCGGATTACCCTCGTCAAGGAGTCCACGCAGAGTATCATCACGAGTAGACTTCCGCCTTGAAAAAAAAGGGGCTTTCGGTGGTCCTGTGCAGCAAGGACAAGGAAGCCTTCGACTCCAAAGGAGTCGCTAAGCTCCTTCAACTGATTATTATCAAAAGGTAAGTTTTTATCGTTTCGATGGTTTGATGAGAATGTGAAAGATATTGACTGACCTTGAGTTGAACACCATTGGCCCATGTCTTGACTTCGGTTCTGAGGGTTTCATCAGACTTGAAGATTTTACCGAATCGACCACGCTCTTCAGCATTTGGATCGACGTCGGTGTGGTAATTATTCCTGTGTTTCTACACCAAAAATATAAAAATTTATTATTATCTTTCTAGATATTGAAGATAGGGTAAAAATAACATCAAAAATGGATTCCTGAGGTAAAATAACCCCTAGTCACTCACTACAACTACCCTCTTATCTCTACTAGTTCAGAAGTTACACTTATCTCAAGCTGTCACAGGAGCTTTTCTTTATTATTATCCTGACCACGTCTCATTTCGAATACTGGATGCATATTTCATATTGAATTCCTTTGTATCATATTGAATTCCTTTACTGGCTTATATTTCATATTGAATTCCTTTGTAGGTGCACATGCATTCCTTTGTAGTAGGACCTTGTAGGCTAGCCAAAATCCCTCAAGGCAGTGCTCTCACCAGCCAAATTCCCTCACCTGCATGTATTAGACTAGCTAAATTCCCTCATTGGATTTTCAGGCCAGCTAAATTCCCTCACCTGCATGTACCCTGGAGCTAAAATCCCTCACTTATTGTGCTATATAAGGAGGCCTCTGCCTGCCAGTTGT